CAAAAAGAAAAAATGTAGTATTAGAAAAGGATAACAATACTACAAAAAAAAAGAAGGAGAAAAGAACAAATAAGCAACTAGAAGAAAGTGAAGCTTATCAAAATCAAAACAAAATGGAGCTTGAAGCACCAGTAACACAATTAATAGTTCAGAAAAGCAGCTTTAAGTGAAGGTACTCAGAAGATAAAATAGAATTAGTTAATAAAAAAAGAGATGATAGATCAAATAAGCAAGTAGAAGTAATTTTAAATGAAAGCAAAGAGAAACTTCTGAAAAGCCTAGAAGAGTAAAAGGCAATAGACAAGATGATGCTGTTAATAACAGAATATGGTATTCATGATCCAGAAACAGAAGAGTCAAAAAAATTAATGCTTTTGAGATACAACAACAAAATAAAGCAAAGCTTAGATAAAGAAAAAGGAAAAGAAGCAGAAAAGATAATATATGAAGATATCCATGCCTCAAGATGGGCTTCCAAAGATATTAATAGCTCAATATGGGCTACAAGAAACAGGTCAAAAATTATTTCATATAAAGAAATGCAAAAACAAGTTGCAAATCAAGAAGAGCAAACAGTAGTTAAAAATAAATTAACAATAATGCTTACACTATGAGACCTATCAAAAGATGCAAAATATGGAAAAATAGTATAATGCTTAAGCTTTTATAGAAAAGCAAAAGTACTTAAATGAAAAGTGCTCAAAAAACCAAGCCTGTAGTAGTGTAGATTACAGGTTGAAACCAAAAAAGATTAGATCCTTTAACAACAAGTTGGTTAGTGCATTTCGAAAGAGAGTTAATGTGTAGAATTATATCAAAAAGATTTGACTTAGAGGTGTTAGAAGAAAGAAGAAAACATAAGGCAGCTTTATGAGATATTCCAAAATCAGCATTAGAATCAACCTTACTAAAACAACTAAGACTATTAAGTGTTAAGGCAGAGAAAAGAACAAAGAACACAAAGAAATATTGATTAAAGACATGAAGAAACAAGATTTTTTAAAGTGAAGAAAACTAGAAATAAGAAAGAGAAGCAAAAAGAAAAAGCAAAAAACAATAAAGGACAAAAAGAAGAAACAGCAATTATACAGCAAATTAAAAAACACCAAAGCATATTGCAAGAAATATTAAAGAAACTTGACAGACTTGATAATAGGCAGAGTAATTCTGCCTATAGCTCCTAACAGTCATCACAGTTGTAACTAAGAAACTTGGCACAGAGAAAACAGATGGTTCAAAGATAATAGAAGACAAAAGAGAGGAATTCTTTGACTAAAAATTAACATGCAAGAAAGCATCATTAGTAGAATTAATTAGAGAAAGCAATGTAGAATTGAACATTGCTTGCCATAATATTAATGGATTAAAAAGTAACAAACACAAAATGGAATTAGTATATAAATAGGCCTTAGACAATAAGATTGACATATTGGAATTAGCAAAAACAAATATAAGTAAAAAAGAAGAGTTCTTTATAGCAATGAATTTGAGTAGATATAGTAGCTTTAG